AAATTAAGTTATTTTTATTCATACATACATATACACGTATTAAAGATTTAGAATTCAAAACGAAACCCCAAGGGGCTAAAATATGTCAGAAAGACTGAAAGTTTAAGAATATAATTCAATATATCACTTAAAAAGTGTTGGTACTTAGTACATTTCTAATTTAATATATAGTATCTTTTTCCTTTGTTTAATGATGGAAAAAAATAATAGAAATTATAAGTAAATAAACTAAAAAGAAAAATAAAAAGTAAATTGAATTTTTATATATAAGTCTTTGAACATTTAAGTTTGCATGCAATGTAGTAGATTAAAAGATAATATTTATGTAACGACGAGCATGCTCGCTGAAAATCAAATTTTTTTGCTTTTTGGCGAGCATGCGCGCAAACTGCCCTACAAACGACGAGCATGTGCGCATGTCGGATATGCTCGTCGTGTGTAGCTACTATAAGCTACCACTTCAAACCTAAAGCTGAAACTAGTCGAGAACGCAGAACGTATACTTAAACGCAGTCTGTATACGCAGAATTTTGTCGATTACTGTAGCCCTCAGTGTTGCTTACTACACGGTTGCCACTCTTCAATACCTTTTCATAAACTTACCCTTTCAACCACAATTTTTCGTGCTATAATAGATTGTAGCTAAATATAAACTACTTAGTTTTCAACAAAATCCTTATTCAATAGTAAATTTCACATATTTTAAACATATTTTGAATAGGAACTTATAACTTTTTTACCATCTGCAAAACTGACGAAGTGGCAACCATCTAAAGAAGGACAAATCAGCTGACACGGAAAAATCTAAATTCCGCAGATTTCTGCGCTACGGGCTACAATTACAGAAAAATTCTGCGGTGTTGAGTTTTCATTTACATGGCGCTTTGGTAAGACAGATCGTGTCAGCTGACTCGGGTTTACGTACCGGTAGGTTTACGTTCTTGACTTCAGCTTAAGTATTACTTTAAACTTTTATGTTTTCCAATAATCATATATGTATGTAGATACTCAAGCTGAAATTAGCCAAGAACGTAGAACGTATACTTAAACGCAGTCTGTATACGCAGAATTTTGGTGATTACTGGTGCCCTCAGTTTTGTTTTTGTTGTTGCCACTCATCAATGCCTTTTCATAAACTTGCCTTTTCAACTACAATTTTTCGTGCTATAATAGATCGTAGCTAAATATAAACTACTTAGTTTTCAACAAAAAACCTTATTCAGTAGTAGATTTCAAATATTTTAAACGTATTTTGTATATATTATAACTTTTTTACCATCTGCAAAACCATCCAAGAACGATAGAATACAAGATTGATTGCGCATTCCCGCAGAATGACATTTGTGGCAACGGGTAAACAAAGAATATGGCGAAGAACAATGAGTTGACAGTTGTGAATTTGCAGTGAGAAAACGTGTTTTCTTCACGATTAACCAATTTCTCAAGCCATCTTTGAATATAGCAAATTAAGCACAACGTTAACAAAAAATATACAACCACTTTTGCTAGTGTCTAAATTGTATGCCTTCTCCTGCCGGCAGAACTCTACCCACTTTCTGGCCAAGGCGTCGACGCGGGGAAACAACAAAAAAACTGCATTTGGGGGCTTTACCCCTACGGCTGCTGCAATTCAACACACGACACGACATTTTTATAAAGTTTTTATTACAAATAAAACGTTTTTTACTATAGAACGCACGAATTACTTCGATTTTTCACTTGAAAGTACACAATACGTTTGGAGTAAAATGGGAACAGATGCAGAAGTGTACGAGAACGCAAAAGCCACTATTTCCTGCACAAACGTCAGTCGGTTTGTTTACATGTCATTGGTAGAACACTGATTTGGCTGAAAATCAGTAAATAATTATTAAAAACTATGCAATTAAGAATAATTGCGTACATATTCAAATATTTGTTGTTTACTTCCATCTTTGATCGCACCGCGTTCTGCTTTTGTTTACAAATGCAACCCTGCCTATCGTTTGACACTTTGAATGAACTTGCAGGAAGAAAACTCTCGGGCAAAATCCTGTAACTTCTGACTCGGAAGAGTTGCTCTCTTACTCGCTCAAAAGTGTTCCCAGTGAGAGAAATTCTTGCGTACGGGAACGACTTCCTGTAATTTCATACTATTTCTTTTACTAGGTTCACATATAAGTAGATTATCTTCATTTTCGAGCTTAACTCCCTGATCTGTAATTAGAAAAAGAGTTTAGCTATACAAAATTCGTCCCTTGTTAATCTGTAACTATAAAATAACCTCAGATTTAACCGATAACTTTTCGGTGTCCAACCTGCTTTTATTGTTTAATTTTGCGAGGAAGAGGAGAAATGCCAATCGTCGGCTGGGTAAAAGATTGTCGTATGTTACGCACGTACATACGTATGACGCTTACGTCTATCTTTTACCCAGGCAACGAAATGTAAAAGTGAACAAAAATTTACGCCAGAAACGAAAAGAGGTTTGTAAATGTATTTTTAATAAAATATTAAGTTAAAATATATTTAAATTGCTTTATATTGCAGAAAAAAGTGATCACGGTGGCACAGAGAGGAAACATAACCTTTCCTTGAGATGTGACAATAACAAGCACAAAAAATTGTACGGATATAAATCTGAGATTTGCCTGTGTAAACGGGTGATTAAAAAACGAGCTTTGACCGAGATAATATTTATATGTGAACATACTTTTACTATGTCCTAGTGTACTGGGACAAACTATTCCGGTTTTGCAATAGAATGACAATTGCTCATTCTTCATTGTCGTGATTTGGTCATTGTCGTTGCACTCGTCTTCCACAAGCACGGCTATAATTTGTGCTGCCATTGAAATTAGTTGATTTTTATATTTTTTTCACAAATTTATTAAATCGTCGCACTTTTTAATTCAACACAAACATATGTTTTTGCCTTGTCACCTGCTCAGAAGATCATGACAATAAAAATGACAATTGGCACAATTCGAGCTTTTGAATTTTGCTGCGAATACCAAAAAGCTGCAATTGTCATTTTTATATCAATTGTCATCGCGGTGAGTTTTGCCAGTGTGGCGGAATAGGGCTGTAAATATAACTCATCGATAAGGGCCGATTAGCACGATCAGTGTCCGATTAGCAAATCACAATATAACCAGTAAACAACCTTCTGGGAATTTGGCGACAGCCTTCCTCGGGGATGAATACGCTAGGGATGAAATTATTGGTACACACGCCTTCCAAGCATGCAGGGTTGCTTTTAAAAAACAAAAAATAATTAACTCCAAATAGTTTCAAAAAGTATAGTGTAAAACGAAATTTATAAAATGGTATACATAAATGACGCATTTTCTAAACGATTTAAATTAAACGCATTTGCGAATTGATAGAAAAGTACTACGGATTGTTAAGTTTTGTTAACTATGCGGTGAAAGAAAATTTTCAACCCGGCCTGATGGTTTGATTTTATTACTAAGGCGTCTAATAAATTCATGGCTTTTAGTTCTAGAAGAATAAATGTCGGTAAAGACAAGTCTTTTTTGTATAATTTCTGATTTTAATTGCTCAACTTCTTTTGAACCAGAGCAACTGTCAAAAATTTCCAACAGTAAAAAGTTACGAATTGGCACAGCAGAAATGTAAACTTTTCTCGCCATAATAAACAGTTTTTTTCAACATGGAACTTTTCTACTAATTGACATGAAATTACTATCTCAACGCTCGGAGCGCTGCCACTGAGGGCCTTTGCCAACTGATTAAAAAGAGAAAATTTGGGAAGACCAAACAAAAATTTTGAGATTTCTCGTTGTGAATACGAATGCCATAGTTTTTACCTAGCTCGTGGGACTACGCAAAATTTTTACAGCTTGTAAATATGTGTACATATGAAGTTGTTGGCGGTATAAGGAGTCAAAATTAAAATGTAGAAAAGAACAAAAAGCGTAGGTTTGTTGTCAGTTATAAAATAAATCCAATTTATTTACGAATATTTGTTTATTCTTTTTATTGAAAGGCAACCACTCGGAAAAGCTTGTGTTAATTATATTGATAACAGAACCTGGCAGGTCGCACGTTGTCTAAATTCTCAAGTAACATAAAGTCCACAAAAGAATAAGTACGCCATGTATAAATTTTAACAATACACAAAAATAGAGCTTTCGCACGAGCGTTTGTTTGGTTTTTCAACACCATTTGTAATTTTCTTTTAATAAAATCACGATTTGACAAATACTTAAATTTATTTATCTAATAATAGTACAGCACACAACCCTGAAATCTAAGAAAAAGTCTGAGGAAGGCCATTAAATAGCAGCACACAACCCCGTGCCTTCCTCAGGAGTGAATATAACTACAACAACAACGACTACTACAACAACAACCCAAAAAGGTTGGTTGGTTACTGTCTATACTGTGGCACAAATCGGAGGTAGAAGCTCCGGTTAGATACAACGACTGCTTTATCGATCACATGTTATACTGCCATACCTAAACAAAAGCGTTGGGCGGAACGGTTTCTGACGCCTAGCGATAGCGACGAAATGCCATACCTCCTACCTACCTACCTCCGGTTAAGCACGACTACTGCTTTATCGATCACATGTTACATGCATGATGTCGAAATCGTCGATAGTGTAGTGGTAGTGATAACCAGACATTGAACAACCGGCCCTAAATGTCATTGTGACAATTGCCATAATCAAAAAAAAAAGCGACCGAAATGCCCATGATACAAAAAAGAAGGTAGTTCCATTTAATGACATTCGTTGTTGTTGCTAACCATTTGACTTTTAATAAAATTATGACATTTCATAAAATTCATGCTACCTGATCACCAGAGATAATATTTTTTTTTTTTTGTAAAAGTAAACAAAAATGTATGAAAATGAGTGAAGTTTAGTGAAGTTATTGAACATATATGAAAGGAGGGCTGCATGACCATCCGTCACTTCTCGAATTCAAGTACAGATTTCGATCATACCTTCTAGGTAATTTTTTAACCACTTAAAGAAATTATTGTTGTTGTCATAAAGATTCTAAAATGTATGCATGAACTTTATTAGGGCGAAACGAAACTATTTTGAGCACGGAAACAAATGTTGAGTCTTCAAGTGAAGTAATGTTTAAATTTGAAGAGGAGTTGCTCAGTGAAAATGTTTTCAAACCACTTAACGATATTGAAATATTCGCAGAAGAAGAACTCGAGGTAAACTCCTTACCCTTTCGTTTTTATTTGATTTCTAATTTTTTTAAGTAGCTCGCAGAAGAGCATGAAGCAGAAGATTTCATCAGTCCACTCAAAGATGTGGAATATGATGGACTTGAAAATTTTGCCGGCTACATAATTTCGAAAATGGGGTTGACAAAACTAGGCTTCAGGACGCATGAAGAAAGTGATCAAAATTATACGTATGTTAACTGTTTATCGGAGGGCGGTCTGTACAAGCCTAATTCAAGTTTTTTGCATACATTGGAAATTTTGAATTCAAAATTTGTTGAAATTAATGGTGATTCGCTAACCACAAAGCCAAAATTTTTGCAAAATCTGATGAGAAATTTAAAAGTAAATTTGGACCAAAATATTATAAAAAGATTTTATTTGGGAGGAACATTCTTTAGAATTCGATTTTTAAATCGCAAGATTAAAGAAACGAAAATTGTATATCAAAATAAGAAAATGAAAAAAATAACAACATAATGCACTAATGGTTTTTATTATAAAATAAAAAGAATAATTACAATGTAACAGTTTACATTTTATATATTTTTAATAAAAGAGGGGCAAACCACGTAAGTAAAAAAATATCAAGTACTGATTGTGAGTTTTGATTTGAAATATTCTCACATTGGTAAAAATATGGGAAAGAAAATACTCCGATGTATTGCTTTAATATTATCAAAGTGGCAAGGCCGTTGATAATACTGACAATTTATGAAACTTCAAAAAATTTTATTATCCGTCAATAGTTGTTTATTGAATCTACCTTCTTTTTTGTATCATGGAAATGCCTATCACATTCCAAGTGCGCGAAAGTTTAGAAACTAAACCTTTGGATTTGCATTTTTTGCCAGCTAAAGTAAATGGAGACGGTACAGCTGACGTGCACAATTATTTTAATTCATACACAAGGACAGAACAAGGCGGAATTATAGCAAACGCCGTCCGTGGCTTTCCTTTGAAAGGACGAATAATTGAAGTGCCAGAAACACATACGGGCGTTGTACTACAGGAGTCACAGAATTCTTTGAACACTGATCTAACACGCAATTTCTATACAACCGGCTACTTCGCAAAATTCTGTTATTGGAATTATGATAAAGTACCAAGTAAAGCGGATGCATACAAACAAGCTGTACAAATATTTAACATATCCGAGGAGGTATGTACATATAAAGCCTGTCCCAGGATTTGTACGTGGTACAGCAAAAGCTGTTTTCGTTATTAAAAAACCTTAATTAAGGGAACAGCTTCCTGTAAAATGCTCTAAATTCTTGGCAAAACCTGAAGTACCTGGAACAGGCTTATATTCAACTATATTAGGAATGTAATTTTCGTAGCTGATGTATCCAATTCCATTATAGCTTTCAGGGGATGTATCTGATATAGAGTTAATTGCAGAGATCGAAAGGAAAAGGTGTAAATCTGGAGCCAAGGAAAATAATTGTTAATGTAAACGCAATTTTATACAGAACTATGTACCATTTACACGAAGTATATATCGTTACCTTAATATAGAAAAGCCATACCTCACATCGTCGATGAAATGCAAAAAAGCCGTGACTAACTAAAATTTTGTATTGCATAAAACGATGTATCCCTGAAGTGTATCAATCAATTAAAGTAAATTTTGAATTTTTAGTTAGTTACGGCTTTTTGTATTAAAGCGACGATGTCAGAAAGGACCTTTCTATATTAAGGTAACGAGCTTGCAAAAAATTTTTTTCAGAGTATTCGGAACTGTAGAGATTTGTAAGGATTCGTAAAGATCTCATCCGATTTTTAGTCGAATTTTCTAAAATGAAATTATAGAAACTTCTATACGAGTTCGTGTCAACCACTTAACATAATTTTCTTTGAAGATTCCTAAAAAAACCGTTAAATAAATGAGATACTCCTAAAGATTTCGGGAACTTCGGTTTGCCGGGGATATGATGTTTAAGAAACGCATATGTATTTTTGTTAAATAAAAATCAAATGGAGTTATTGTTTATTTTATTTTAATTTTAAATGACTACTCATCTGCATCGGCAAAGCGTTCATCATCGTTTAGATTTAAGTTTCGCATTCCACCTTGAGCGTCTTCGGCGTAGTCCCTACCACTGTTTCCAGCTGGACCAAGGCCGTTATCAAAGCTCTCGCCATCTTCATCATCCATAAAATCACTTTCCTCCGAAATACTGTCTGCTGAATCAGGATGGAGTGCTTGACACTCGGTCATAGCCTGAAACATGATGTCAACAGTGTTTGCATCGTCGGGAATAAGCCAGCATTCTGTTAACTGTTCATCATTTCTTTCGTCTTCGTCGTCAGTAGCGTTGCCCTCGTCTATCTCATCATTTTCATTATCCAGCCGTTGCTCCATTGGGACACCGTCATCAACTCCTTCAGCATTGCCGTTATGATTATTTTCAGGCGCTCGCGTTGTTTTATCATACACACCGCGCCACTCAAGATTGTGGTCTAGCATAAAATATATGCATTTACACGGATTTGCTGATATACCATGTATGCTAATTTGTTTCCATAGTAAAGAGATTCCCTCGTTCATACCTTCTCCTTGCCAACCTAAAAAACTAAAAAAAATTATTCGATTTACATAAATTACAAATACCAATATCAACCGCTTACTTTTGACTTATGTATAGAGTTCCTTTTCCAATAAGCTGCTCCCCAATTTTCAACTTTGTATTATTAGCCGTATAGACTAACCCTTCTTCAGGTGCATTTATTTGTGCTATCAAAGCCATTAAATTGATATATTAGAATAATCCTCGAACTTTAGAAAACAATAAAACCCGACACTGCACTATAAGGTGAATGAAGATTACACTTTTGCAGGATTGCCTTATTTAGGCTTACTACACATCTACACGTTCCATCAATTATGATAAACAAGCTGTGTTAGGGCATAGACAGACTGCAGTGTAGATCTGTAGCTCGTTCCTGCCCTCTCTCTCTAGCGATTATTTCCAAGGCGAATTTATTCAAGGTGGTGTTACTGGCAAATTTAGATTACAACAACGACAACCATATGTATTTTGTATGGAGGGTGTTATGTCAAATCTCAATTCGCTCCAAAGTTTACATGTATTTTGTTTTTGCTTTTGATGGGTCTGCTGTCAAATCAGTAAAAGCGAAAACAAAATACAAGTAAGGCGAATAAATCAGCTGATTTTACAACACCACCTTGTATAAATTCGCTTTGATTATTTCTCTTCTGGTAGAGAATATACGTCATTCTTTACTACTAATTAGCAGGGCGGCAAATTCATATCTCAATTCGCCTTGGTTGAGAATTGTTATACCTTGGTTATAATGCACGGGGCGAATCGTAACAAATCGCGGCGAATTCGTAAGGATCTATTGGTTTTAGATGTTTCCATTTTACGTTACGTTCAGGTGCATTATAATCGTTCGAATTCATTGCCCATACAATAGGTAATTAAGTGACAGTTCACTCCGTTCCGTTACTTCCATTATAATCCAGGCATTACATAAACGAGCTGCTGGATCAACTCGTTAATCTTAATTTTCTCGGAAATTGACTGCAGTTGATCCAGATTAACCCTTCGTCAGGCGCAATATGGTGACTGTCAATTTCGGCGCAATGTGTCTAAGGGCCAGTCTTTCAGTGCACGGCCGTGGTTTAAACGCTGGTTTAAACTAATCCATTAGCCAATCAGATGTCAGCTAGCTGTTCAATTTAAACTCAGTTTACTTAGAGCCGCTTACTCAATGTCTGGTTAACTCTAACTACAGGTTAAACATCATTATCGACGTTACCGACTCCCTGTTGTGTGCATGGAGTCGAAGACATCGATAAAGATGTTTAACCGCAGATTAGTGTTAACCAGACATTGAGTAACCGCCCCTTAATCTAAGTTTAAACTAGCACTGAAAAACTTGCCCTTACTAGCACACTTTTAAAAACCCATAATAAGCACACAATTATAGCCGTCATCGATTCGCCACTAAAATCTGACTGGTATATCTGTGTTTATACAGTTAAAATTTTGTCGACGCGATTATTCGTATTCCCTTTTCATTTACACACGGCGACTTTTTGGTATGTAATTGTTGTTGTCAGCTGTGAACCGCTAACTCAATTGACACAGATGAACGAGAGCACAAAGCGTGTTGCCCGAGCACGAGCAAATCGGTGCTCCTCTTCTTTCCTCGTCACGCTCTCTCCTGCAAACGTCGAGTTGCAGCAACAAAAATCGCCGTGTGTAAATTAGCACTTAAGGCTCTGTTATGCATACTTGGCATTGCTTGAGCGTTGTCACATAAGGAATCTGTTAAATGAGCTTCGCGTGTAAGCGGTTACCCAACGCACAGCATTACATACGTAAAAGTCTGTTGGTTTTTGATTTCTACGTAAAAATGGTATAGCAGTGCATGCAATGCCAAGTATGCATAACAGAGCCTTTAGGGCCGGTTGTTCAATGTCTGATTAGCACAAATCGGAGGTAGAAGCTCCGGTTAGATTCAACGACTGCTTTATCGATCACATGTTATATGCATGATGTCGAAATCGTCGATAATGATGTTTAACCGGCAAGTTGTGATAACCAGACATTGAACAACCGGCCCTAAAGGAACAGATTAAGGCCCGGTTGTTCAATGTCTGGTTATCACTACCACTACACTATCGACGATTTCAACATCATGCATATAACATGTTATCGATAAAGCAGTAGTTGTGCTTAACCAGAGCTTCTACCTCTGATTTGTGCTAATCAGACATTGAACAACCGGCCCTTAAGCTGATGCCACATAAAACTTTTCCTTAGCTTTGCGTGACAGATTCGCTTTGACAGATGAGATGAATTGTATGAAAATGCACAAAGCATACCACATAGATCATTGAAGCTGCAGCGCGAAGCGAAAAGATGGCCAACTCCCATCTTTTTGCGCGCTTTGACAATCAGCCGGTTTAATATTTATTTTGTTTCGTCCAAATTCGAGTATTCATGCAGAAACATAAAACTCAATTACATTGCTGATAATTTTAAAGCAAAATAACTAAAATCCACAGCAATTTTGAAGAGTAGAAATGCAGTGCAAAATTGATTTCTTGGCGTTCATTGAGGCATACCTTTTGCGTCTGGCGCTTTGCTGGCAAAGTTATAAATGTCACGCAAAGCTACAAAGTTTTATCTGGCATGAGCTTTAGGGCCGGTTGCTCAAAGACTGGTTGACACTAATACGAGGTTCACATATAAGTAGATTATCCTCATTTTCGAGCTTAACACCCTAATCTGTAATTATAACAAGAGATTAGCCATACACAATTCGTCCCTTATTAACATGAACGAAAGACACAAGATCACGCCTTCCCGAAAGAAAGAAAAAAGTTATTTTCTAGCTGTTGAAATCTCGACGCCATCTTTGTTGTAAGAAGTAAACAACGAAGAGAACAAAAAAAACGCGTAATTGTTGAACGCATAAATAATCATTTTTATTATGCAAATTCTTCTGTAAATCATTTCGTTGTATTAAATTATTCTTTACCTTATGTGTGCACACGTGCACACACACAAGCGAAAATTAAGAAAATTGCAGTAAAGAGCCACCACCAAATTGTAAACAACGAACAAATGTAAACAAACGGCTAATGTCAAAGTCGCTCAACTTTTTTACTAAATGCGATTATAACGGGCTACTAAGAAGAAGGCGTGATCTTGTATTTTTGGTTCATGCCTTGTTAGTCTGTAATTATAAAATAATCTCAGATTAAACCGATAACTTTTCGGTGTCCATCCTAGTTTTATCGATTGTTTTTGCGAAGAAGGGGAGAAATGCCAAATGTAAAAGTAAATCAAAATGTACGCTAGCAAGGAAAAGAGGTTTGTAAAGGTATTTTTAATAAAATGTTAAGTTAAAATATATTTATATTGCTTATTATAGCATAAAAACGTGATCACGGTGGCATAGAGAAGAAACATAACTTTCCTTGAGATGTGAGAATAACAAGCCCAACAAATTTGACGGCTAATAATCTGAGATTTGCCTGTGTAAACGGAGTGATTAAAATACGAGCTTTGATTGTGATAATATTGATATGTGAACATAGTTTAATCTTCAGTTAAATTATCGACGTCTTCAACTTCTTACATATAACACTGTGTCGGTAACGTCGATAACGTTGTTTAACTGCAGATTAGTGTTAACCAGACATTGAGTAGGCGGGCCTAATTGCTATCGTATCCGCAAAACTGCTTCGTGTAAACCCCAAGTTAGCAATGCTGTCACAATGTTGTTATCGATTAAACCAGACATTGCATTGAAAAATCTTCGCTAAAATTTTGACTTTAGGGAAGTGTTCGTATTTTTTTATTGCCGTCATTTGTTTTCTCGCGACTAAAAAGTTAAATTTGTGGAGTATCTTTTTAAAAAATGGGCAAGCGTCGAAAGCAGGCTTTAATAGACTCTGACGAGGACTCTAGTGATAATGAGTCTAATCTCGAATCGGTAAGAATATGAAGTTAAAAAACCTGAGACTGTTTTTTGTTGGAAATGTTATTACGATGTGAATTAACTTCTAAACTATTTATTAGGAATTATTGTCTTTGGCAAAGAAAAAGCCGAAAACAAATTCAACTCAAAATAGCGCAACTGCTTTGTCCGAGTCTGACTCGGACTCTGACTGGGCGCAGGGTGCAAGCACATCCACTGCAGGAAAGAAACGAATAAAAAAAGTCAATAAGGAATCAGATTCTTCCGATTTAGAAGATAATCACAGCCACAAAGAAAAAGACGCATCGCAAAAAGAATCTACCAACAGAGAAGAGGGAGAAGTTTCAGATAGCGATGATAAAGATGAAAGCAATACAACCGACTCCCAATCAACCGCAGAAAGTACAGATAGCAGCTCAGATTCAGAATTTGATGACGGATATGATGAAAACCTCATGGGAGACGAGGATGATCGCAAACGCCTAAATGGGTTGTCTGAAAAAGAACGTGAAACTGAGATTTTCAAGCGCATAGAGCAACGAGATTTGTTAAAAACCCGCTGGGAAATCGAAAGAAAATTAAAACTAGCTCGAAGGGGGGAAAAGACCACAAAAGTAGGCGGAAAGAAAGAAAAAAAAAAGAAAGTGGCCAGAAAACCCAAGCCCAAACAAAAGGAAGAAGCAACTGAGCAAAAAAAAATTATTCCGCTTGAGGAAAAAGAGCCGGAGGAAGAAAAATTACCACCCAATGTTCAAGAAGTTGGGGAACCAACGGTATCAGCAGACGAGACGTTAGTTGCTCGAAAAATTTCCGTAGATGACCAAAATGCTGTAGACAATTTAGATCATAAAGAGCGTTCCAAAGAACGTAAAAAGAATGTGGAAATGAACCGAACTGACGACAAGCGTAGTACCGCCATGGCTATGTTAAAAGCTAAACGTGAAGGAAAAGCTAAGCGAGGTAAGAGGTTTTTTCTACAGTCGATGGCGAATATAGAAATATATCAATGTGTTATTTTTCAGAGGAAGAAGAGGCTAAGCGGCAAGCGGAGCGTGACCGAGAGGATGAAAAAGAAGAGCTAGAAGGAGTATCTACAGGAAAATCGTCTATAAAACTCAAAGCCTCTGAAATATACTCAGATGATTCAGGAAGTAGTGATTCGGATGACGAGAAACCATCTGAAAAGCGCTCCCGCTCAGCCAGCAGCAGTAAATCTTCTAGCGAATCTGAAGACGAAGATGATACAACAAAATCACCAGTATATATTAGCACACGCGAAGAACTAAACAAATTGCGATTATCTAGGTTCAAAATGGAACGTTTTATTAATCTCCCAATGTTTGAGCGCACAGTAATGAATTGCTTTGTTCGCATTAGCATAGGCAATAACGGTCAAAAACCTGTTTACAGGGTAGCTGAGATAGTCGGAGTAGTGGAGACTGCTAAAATTTATAGCCTGGGAAAAACTCGTACAAATCGAGGCTTGAGGCTTAAGCATGGGACCCAGGAGCGCGTTTTTCGCTTAGAATTTATTTCCAATCAAGAGTTTACAGAAAGTGAGTATGCCAAATGGCGTGAAATATGTGCGCAGCAAAACGTGCCCATGCCAACTGTAGACACGATTGAGCGCAAACAAGGGGATATTAAAGAAGCTCTTAATTATGAGTTCAAAGATGAAGATGTTGATAAAATAATTGAGGAAAAGAACCGGTTTAGAAACAGACCGACTAATTATGCCATGAGAAAGACTTGTCTGATGAAAGAGAGAGATGCAGCGATGTTGCGTGGAGATTACGATGTAGCACAAGATCTTGGTCAGCAAATTGACGAGCTTGAAAGTAGGGCATCGGAACTTGATAAAAAACGTTCTAGCAGCATAAGTCTTATTTCATATATAAACGATCGCAATAGAAAACGAAATGTAGAGGATGCAGAAAAAGCCATTTTGGAAGAAGCTCGTGCCAATAGAGGCATGAAAATTTCAGATCCATTCACGCGGCGTATAACACAGCCCCGCATGGGCTTTAAATCTGTGGAAAAAAAAGATGAACCTTCCGTTCAGCAGACCCCAACTCTTCCACCGGCAAAACGGAAAGTTGAGGAAAGTGCTGCGGGCGGCTCAAAACCAACTGAACCAAAAACTGACTACAGTTTATATGCTTTGCATGATTTTGACATCGATTTGGATGTGTCACTATTGAATACTGTACCCACAACACGATAATATTTAAATTTATTATATGCGACAAGACAGTTCTGTGAGAAAATCAAACTGCTAAATTAAAAAATTCTAAGCTTTGTAGTTGGAATAATACATGTACTTTAAAAATATATCTTGTATGTACATATATCGTACATACCATTTGTGAAATGATAGTTGCGTTCCAGGGGCTTCACGATTAGCGGGTTGTTACAGGAAATCTGTCGCAAGCTTCCATAAGGTTTTTTAATGACGAAAACAGCTTGTCCTGTAAATCTTGTAAAACACGAAAATCGTCAGGTACCTGGAACATGGCTAGTGTCTGTATATGAAGCCACATTGTACGCCGTCAGTGGTACCGCTACTTTGGTTTTGCTGATTTTGACAGTTGTGGTAACTTGTAAATAAACCTTTGTTTACAAATCAGCGGAAGAGAAATTTGAATTATAAGTAAAAAATCAGTTTAAATCGTGTTAATTTGCAATTTGTGATTGATTTTTGATTTGAAGACTGCGTAAAAACTAATACAATGAAGCGCTGTGTGTTAAGTTGCGACAGCCGTCAAGATGCAAGAAGCGTAGATGCAAGTGTAGCTCGGACGAATCGCTGCATTTTGTGTACATAGGGCAAAGCCGTTCCCCAAATGTTTCTCTATTCTTATATTAACAGCATTCCCTCACAATGATTTTGTTTCTGCTCCACGCAGCCTCCATTAACAAGTGAACTAATCAATCCCACAGAGATGCTGCTGCAGTTTTCTGCAAAATTTGGAATCGATAGAGATGATTGAGCTGAGTATAACGGTGAAGTTAACAATATATAAATTTATTAAAAAAAAAGGTTTAATTTAAAATTCCAAATGAAATTATGTTGTTTACAGCTCAAGAAAAATTTTTGAAGTAAGCTAATTTTCTCTTTGATGTTTGAACCATGATACAAAAAAGAAGAATAAACAACTTTTGACGGATAATAAACTTTTTTGAAGTTTCATAAATTGTGAGTATTATCAACGGCCTTGCCACTTTGATAATATTAAAACAATAAATCGGAGTATTTTCTTTCCCATATTTATACCAATGTAATAACATTTCAAATCAAAAACCATTATTAGTGCTTGGTACTTTTTTTTACTTACGTGGTTTTTTTATTAAAAATATTTAAAATGTAAACTGTTAAAGGAGACTTCATTGTAACTGTTCTTTTCATTTTGTAATAAAAACCACGCGCGCATTATTCTGTTATTTTTTTTGTTTTCTTATTTTGAATGCAATCTTGCGATTTAAAAGTCGAATTCTAAATAATGTTCTTCCCAAATAAAACCTTTTTATATTTTGGTTCAAATTTACTTTTACATTTCTCATCAGATTTTGCAAAAAATTTGGCTTTGTGATTAACGCATCATCATTAAATTTCACAAATTCTTAATTTATGCAAAATACCTGAAGTCGGCTTGAAGAGATCGCCCTCCGATAAACAACTAACAGATCCTCGTTTAAAGTACAAAACCGTGTATCGACAAAATGCACAACTGTCACATAGCAGTTGCATTAATTGTTTGTAGAGAGTAAAAACACTCATATTTCAAAAGGTTCTCTTTTTTTACAAAGAAATCGCATTTCAGGACGAATGGATAAGGCTTGAGCCAAGAGCTTGTGTGAGCAAATCCCATTTTTGGCAAAAAATGTCAATTACGCGGTTTTGCAGAACGACGATACGCGGTTTTGTACTTTAAGCGACGATATGTAAGCATACACTTTCGTCATGCTTTCTGAACCTAGTCGTCAACCCCATTTTCGAAATCATGTAGCCGGCATAATTTTCTAGTGTATCATATTCCACATCGTTGAATGTACTGATAAAATCTTCTGGTTAAAAAAAAATATTTCTTCTAGTGATCAGGTAGCATGAATTTGATGAAATGTCATAATTTTATTAAAAGTCAAATGGTTAACAACAACAACGAATGTCATTAAATGAAACTACCTTCTTTTTTGTATCATGGTTTGAACTACAAAATCACTTAAATATAAAATTTTTTATATTACAAAATTGAAATTAACACAGTACAATAAACGACAGTAACACAAATACAAACCCTACAATACTCCCCCTTCTAGAGAATTAATGTTATATAAAAGTAACTCGTTTCTTATTTGATGTTGTGTTATTCATTGTATTAGTGTTTGTTTCTGGTATTAGTTCTGTTTCAATGATTGCTGGTTTTAGTCTGTCTATCGGAACCTCATTATCTACTTCAAGTTTGAAATATTTTTTTTTTTTTCAACAACCTTATAAGGTCCTTCGTATGGTTGTTGCAATGATCTTTTATTAGTAACACGCATAAAAACAAATTTACAAGTCTCCAAATCCTTTGGTATATATACACCAGTATAAGAATTTTGATAATGCCTTAAATTTGATTTAACATTTTTAAAATATTCCCGTAAATTGCCTAAAACTTCAATTGGGGAAAATTTTTCTTCAGATGGAACCACAAGTTCACCGGGTAGGCGTAAATTTTGCCCAAAAACCATCTCAGATGATGTGGCTGAAATACTTTCTTTATACATCGATCGTAAACCCAGAAGTATTATCGGCAGCTCATCATACCAATTGTTGATTCCATTTCTAGCTATTATCGTAGCTTTTAACTGCCTGTGAAACCGTTCTACCATACCATTCCCTTGAAGATGATATGCAGAAGTTGTAACGTGATGACTACAAGCAATTTTGTTAGTTCCGAAAACAATTTTGACATAAACTGAGTACCCTGATCTGTAGTGATTTTTAACGGTACCCCAAAACGTGAAACATATTCTCTAAAAAATTTATTTGCAACCACTGCCGCTGAAATGTCCTTTAATGCGTATGCCTCGGGCCAACGCGTGAACCTGTCAACTATTGTAAAAATGTAACGATGTCCTTTCGATACAGGAAGAGGTTTAACAATATCTAAATGAATATGATCAAATCTACTTTTGGGAATCGGAATTTTAATTACTGGAGATTTAGCGTGACGATTAACCTTCGATTTTTGACAATTTATACATTCTTTTGACCAAATATTAATTTCTTTGTGCATTTTTGGCCAATAGTACTTTTTAATAATTAGACGACGTGTAGCTTTTGTACCAGGATGTGTAATGCCATGTAACATATTAAACACTGTCTTGCGTAAACAATTTGGAACAAATGGCCTAGGATTCTCACCTGTCATTTCACACCAAATATTAAAATTTAAAAGTGGAATTTGAATTAATTTAAGGTTATGTGCAGTGTTGCCAGAACTTTTTGGACGAACCGGCTAAATTGGCAAATAAAACCGGCTAAAAACGGCTAAAATGTTTCAACTAAATTTCACATGTTTTATTTAAATAAATCACGATTAAAATGACTATTTCTTGGAGAGAAGTTACAAATTCGAGCCGGAAAAAATTTTGCCAGCAAGAATTTGCAATTAGGAAAAACATATGATTAATTTAATATAATTAATTTAGTTAATTCCAATGATATTCTTAATCGGAATGCAATCTCAACAGAGAGTAAGAAATTGAATCGTATGTTGAAGAAAGTCGGACTGACAAGATATACACACGTAGATCCTGTTTTTTGCCCCTCTGAAAGAATTTTAAAAATTCTATACAAATTTCTTTTGTTTGAAATGCAACCGTGGACACAAGCTGGCAGAGAAACTTGCAAATTTGCGTTCGTATAGAAAATTGCAAGTTTCTCTACATGAGGGAGTATTTGGGAGCATTTTTTCTTACTATCTGATATTTTGAGTGATAATACCCGCTGGACTTTCGATGAACAAACCTATTGTCTTCCCTACAAGGCCTTTTCAGACTGACCGATTCTCAATACACTCAAATAGAAACCAGTACACATAAAAAACGCTGTAAAAATTTCCCTTCAATTTTAAGGCAGTAAAACAACGACCTTAAGTTAACATCAACCGAGGCCATATGTTGACAAGGGATGCAAAATCACAGTTACACAAAAGAACTGGTCAGATTTTTCAGAAATCCCTTCAATTCTGATGTAAAATATGATGTCAAAAGACTGCAGATCTCCCATTTGGATGACCGGTCATATGACCGGCAGATGTCTCGTAGGATTCCCAGAGAGTTTTGCTTTACATAAAAATTTGTGCTCTTTTATTTTCATTTTGACTCACTTCAGTGTTGGTTCCTTTAATTCAAGTTGGCATTCGGTTTTTGGAATTTAAATAAGTTCTCAGCAAAAAGTTTGTTTAAAAAAATACATATGTGTACATAGTGCTTGAAAATATCAATTTTCCCTTACCTTAAACCTTTGGGAGTGGGCAAAAATGATTCTTTGTAATTTAGGCAGAATTGAATATGCGCTATCTGGGAAGATGATATCAAACACAAACGCATCTTAAGTATCTTAACAGTGAAACAATTTCTTATTTTCTAAGTTGGCGAATAAAACTTCACACTTAAAACTAAGAGATTTATAACAAACATTTTATGAAGTAAATCCCTTCTTCGTTTAAAATAAAAATAAGCGAAATCGGCCCAATTTCATACAACCCTGCCTGACATGAAAATTTTCTCCACGATAAGGGTAGTAGCCATTTCTAACAGATTTTGGGTCGCTTAGTCAAAAATGGAAACATATATACATATTTGAAATTTAAGAAAACAAGGCAAATTACAAAATCGGCTAAAAACGGCTAATTTTTTTCTGCAAAACGGCTAACAAATCGGCTGCCGGCTAAATCGAAATTTCTCCGGCTGTTTGCTATCGCAACCGGCTAAATCTAGCCGGAAAACGGCTAAAATGGCAACACTGGTTATGTGATGTGTCTCCATATTTTAATGTGTTAAGTTCCTCGTCCTGTTCTTGTTCATTTTGTAAAACTTTGAAATTCAGTTCTGTACCCTTAATTGCATCAACTTCGAAAGCTCGAGATAATGTGTCAGCTATAATGTTCTCCTATCCTTAAATATATCGTATGTCATTAGTAAATTGTGCAATGAATTCCATATGTCTAGTTTGTCTCGCACTACGTTCGGTTTTTGAACTCAAATCATATATCAAAGGCTTGTGATCTGTAAAAACTGTAAATTGTCGTCGTTCTAAAAGATAGCGAAAATGTTTAATATTCAAATAAATAGCTAGCAACTCCCTGTCAAATGCACTGT